GGGATATTAGAAGATGGTGAAATAAAGGGATCAAAAATGACCTTCGGGGTTCTAATTTAAGAAAAGAGAAAATGGAGGTGGTTGGGAAGGGAAGTTAACTTTTTTGGGAGATGCTATGATTGCTTGTGGGTCCTGATGTTGTGACTGGATATCCCAGTGGAGATGACCTGCAGACAATTATAAACATTCACAGCACTCCACCCCCCAGACACAGAGAGAGAGAGAGAGAGAGAGAGAGAGAGAGAGAGAGAGAGAGAGAGAGGCTTGTATTTAGAAGATACAATTTATGTTTAGTACACTCACAAGCCAGTGAGGTGGGACATGCAGGTGATCCAGGAAGATCACAAGTTCAAGTCCAGCCTGGGTACATAGAAAAAGCCTGTCACAAAAAAATCAAACAACTAAACAAACAAAACTCCCAGGAGATTCACAGAACTGAAGATAACTATGACAGAAAAGATAAGGAGAGTGAGTTCCACATTCATGGATTAACCAAACATATATAGATCATAAATATTCAGAGGATAAAACTGTGTCTTCACTGAAACATGTACAATATTTTTTTCATTTTCCCAAAGCAATGTGGTATAACAAATATTTACATAGCATTTATATAATATTAGGTATAAATAATCTAGAGATGATTTAAAGTAAATAGGAGTGTGTATAAGTTATTTAGAAATACTATTTCATTTTATATAAGAGACATACACATCCACAGGTTATGGTATTTATAGTTTTTGGACAAATCCAACATGGATGCTGAGGGGGAGATAACTCTATAGGCTAGGTTAGGAAACCTAACATATGAATCAGTGGATTTCCAGAAGGAGACTGACAGTTTCAAAACAGGGTAATAGAAACCAAGACAAAATTATAGATCATTCTCCTAAAAAAGAAGACCAAATCACTAGGTAGAAAGTATTCACTTATCTTTTAGCGTAATTAATAATATAAGACATGAATAGAGGCACATTATGAAAAAGTCCTGCACTGTAAAATAGATTTAAAAATTATAAACTTATGGAATAAAGAAACAATATTTGAGATCTAATTTGTAAAATGGACTTAGAAGAAAGTGGGAAAGTACAAATTAATGAGAGAAAAAATATTGCCTCAATTTACTACAACTAGTCAAGATAGTGTTTAACCATTAGGGCAACAAAAAAAATTTATGTATGTATATATAAATCAGTTAATATAGCACTCATGAACTTGATCTGTGAAAAATGTTTTCTTTTGGTGTTATGGGTTGAACTCAGGGCCTCAAGCATACTAAGCATCTGCTCTACTCCTAAGCTAGACTAATAGACCCTGCAAAAATAATTGAGAGATAACTCTCAAATTAAAAAAAAATTAATCAAAGAGAAACTTTAAAATAGAGTAAGATGGAGATAGAAAGAGTGCAGAATAATGGATCATGCAAAACATCTCTATCCAACTCTACATATGTTAATGGATGATAGACTCATCTAAAGAAGAAACCCTTAGAAGCATTTCCTTTTGGCTCTTGGGGACTGAATTCTAATATTTTTGGATTCTAGTCTAGAGAAATCTTTATCTTGATCTGTCATATGGTATTAACAAACTTCAGAAATTTGCTGTATTTTAGTGAATGTGTGCTACATGCTAGGAGAAATCACAAATGAATAGCAAAATTGATGTACAGACACTGGACATGTCCATGAGAACTGTATCAGCATTTATCAATGCCAATAGAAAATACTTAGCCAAACAAACACAGGAAGAAAAGTCAAATGCCTAAAAAAGGATCTTGAAGAGACACCTACAATTATCCAGTTTTCCTGATATCTTTTGAGAAATAATTTTTGTTTTTTAATTTCATGAAGTGTAAGTTGTTAGGAAAACAAACCTTGCATCTGTATTATTTTTTATATTATGGGAAAAAAATCCTGTACATAAACACTTTGCTTTCAAATGGAGATACTTTGTTTTGTCTGTTGGTATTGTAAATGCACTTGTCACTACATCAATGATGTTGTTATACAATGGATGATGTCAATAAAGCTTCAGTTATTCTGTGCTTTCTGTGACTTACAGGAACTTCGAGGAGTTGGTAGTTATCCAGGGAGTGATAACAGTATTACTTCGAGCAAAACTGAGTTATTAAACAACATAACAACAGCTAGTACTACTAAAAATGGTTCACTTGAAAGCAAATCCCTGCCCTTCACTAGGAATTTTAAAATCAGTAATGGTAATTTACTAATTAATTAACATTCTATGTATTCAAATATAATAACTCAGTAAAACAGGGCTAGCAATGTAAAGGCGTTTGCATTGGGAACTCTGTCACTCCAACAGCTTACTATTTGAATTCAGAGAAAAAAAAAAGATATCATTTTGTTAATTCCAATTCCTCTCATAAATAAATCAGATATTTGAGCAAATTGAAACCTATACATATATGATAGAGAACAATTAAAATTCTCCCACTAGAGTACAGGTATAGATTGCTTAAAATGTTTCTGTGAAGTCAATAGTGAGGGAGAGGCTCTGACCTAAAAGTAATGATTATGGGAACATTAGTTTCTACATGAATTTTAATCACCAACTGGAAAAATGTCATTTGTTTAAAATGAGCCTCTCTATTTTCCCCCCAAAAACTGAAAACACTACATGTAGAGGATAGGAAAGTTCTTGCCCATGACTGGTAATTTTTCTAATAACCAAAATACATACCTCACAGAGAGGAGAGAGTAGACGATCTAAGGATGGCCTAATGGTTCTTAGCATATTTACTTGCCTTGATATCCCTGCTATAGTAGTGAAGGAGAAGGGGAAGAGAGGAAAGAAAAGTGAGGAAGGGAAGAGAAGAAAAGAGATAAAAAGTAAGGGAGAGAAATGAGAAAGAGGAAGGAAAGGGAAAGAAAAAAAGGAGGACAAAGAAAGGGAAGGAAGGCAAGAGAATTAGAGAGACAAAAGGAGAGAAAGGGAAGGGAGGGAGGACAGAGAGAAGTAAGGGGAAAGAGAGGAAAGAGACAATGAGCAGGGAGAGGACAAAAAGAGGAGTAAGTACAGAAAAGGGGAAGAGTCAGCGTAGTGGACAGGTAATGTGTGCATGTCTTCCACATCCATGGGTTCCACAAACCATGGACAGAAAAGAAAATTAGGAATACTAATTGAATCTATACTGAGTCTTTTTTCTTTTAATTATTCATCAACCAATATAGTCCAACACCTATTTACATAGCATTTGCATCGTACTGGGTATTACAAGCATTATAAAGATGATTTAAAGTATATGCGTAGGAGAGAGTGTGTGTGTGTGTGTGTGTGTGTGTGTGTGTGTGTGTGTAGGTTACATGCATATACTAAGCCATTGTATATATAAGGGACTGAAGCATTCAAAGATTTTGGTATCCTTGAGGGATCCTGAAACCAATCCTCCATGATACAGAGGATGGCTATATTTTTCCTTCCTAGAGTAGAGAAGATCATGTATTATTTGGCTTTAGAATAGAAATTGCTTGACACGAGGACACGAGGACCTCCTGACTCAGTATTTGAGAAAGGTCATATTTCATTCTATTGGTTATTCCCAAGAGGAAGTGAAAGAGTGCAGTGGGTGTGCAGAGTGGGGTGGGGAAAGGGGAGAAACAGGAGTGTGAATGAAATTAACTGATGGCACCTTGACCCTATCATGCTGTATAAATCATCAGGGAACTTTCCACCACTCACTGGAAGAAGGAAGGAGAGTCCCAAATCAGATTAAATTTTCCTCCAGAGAAATGAGAAGTGAAGCTCTATGTTTTCTTTCCACTGGTCAATGACTTATGTAAAATCATTCCATATACTCTACCCTTTTACTTAGAGACTGGAGGGCTGTCCTTTGTATCTGGTTAATTTCAAAAAAAAAAAACAAAGAGTTATCACACAGATTAACATGTCATGACACAATGGCTTTTTACATGCCTTGTTTTATTACCTCAGTAATCTTGTAAGGAATGTATATTGTGTCCATCTGATAGATAGGAGACTGAGGCTCAGCAGCAGTTAAATGGATTGCTTGGGATTAAACAGAAAATACCTGAAAGAGAAGATTAAATGAAATAATAATTCACCTAATCGATTGCAAGAACTCAAGAAATGGTTGGTGCAAATAAGTAATTCAGTTATTCAAGCCCAGTCTCAATCTTGAGTCCTAATTCTGAAAATCTTAGTTTTTAATACTTAAATAGATATTCATCAAAAAGACCCAAGCTCAGGAATAAGCCTAGAGGTAATCTAGGTAGAGCAATAAAAAACATAGATTTAAAGGAATAATTTACATTAATGAAGTTTCCCAGACTAGTTTTTACTTGGATTTTTAAACCCTAACTCTTTCTTTCGTGATTCTCCTATTAACTGTAGAGATTTATGACTTAGGAGTTTTTAAATCCCATCCATTGGGCAATAAACCATATTCTGGAGTTAACAGACCAATTTTTTTTTTCTTTTTTGGTTTATAGACACAGGGTATCCCTGTGTAACTCAGGCTGGTCTAGAATTCGCTATGTTCTCTTTAAGCCACACACAGCTTATTTTAAACTTTTAACTAAACACAACTCTTTAAGTGTCACAAACTCTGCCATCAAACTGAATGCATATGACAGTGGAATACTACCTCAAAATCCAAGGGATATATCTCCAGAGTTGGGATAGAACATTTCTCCAGTTTTTAGAATATTCCAGAAACTAAAACAAAGAATAAGTGCAAATTTTGGAATTTAAGTCCAAGACCAACTCATTAACTAACATATATGAAAGATCTAAACAAAGAACAAGGAAATGTTTATAGTGGTCTAAAGGTAGCAACTGCTTAGGAGGAGAAGCCAGGGTCACTAGCATTTGAAACCATAAATAAGAAAACGCCTTGCTTAGATTTTTGTGACTGGCTGGAGATTTACAATCAGACTAGACAGGGAGGGAGGAACTAAAGTTACCACACAAATTCCCCACAGGGTGGAGTTTGAACAGTTATTTCAATTTCTTACCCCAAGGTCTGGTCTGCAAAGTTTCAAGGCATTCTTCAAAGTTCATTGAGAGGTACTGGAAGCTGAGGACCCCACTGGAATCCTGGTCTCACTGGTAAGTAACGAGGTAGTGATATGTACTCTGTACACAAATGTATGCTTGGTGGGTTTTCTGAATGAAAATTTTCTCTGCCAGAATCCTTGTGACAATGCTTTAAGGTTTCGTCTGTTGGTTTGTTCCTCTTTTTTTCTTGTCCAAGTTAACGTTATAAACAGACCTCCCTAAAGTCCCCCCAACTTTAAACACAGGTTACATGAGGAGATCATAAGCAATGTCCTGATTGATGTTAATGGCACACTGCTGCAACTGCTAAAAGTGTTACATTTAACAAATGGCAAGTACTTGACTTTAAATGGTAACATTAGATCGAAATCCAGGAGAGAGATATCTGGAACGAAGCTTTAACTCTTCTGTTTTCTTGTAACTAGTTGTCTCATTCTGCTATTAGTCATAATAAAAATTTAGAGAAGTGAAAATTCTATTCTTGAGCAGGTTTTTTACCCTCTTATGAAACTTGCCTAAGAATGGAAAGTTGATACATTTTTCTTGGTGTAGCAAACAGTTGTCCTGTTTCTTTCCTGCTCTTATTTTTTAATTTTTATTATATTATTGTTGTACTGGGGGTACATTGTGACGTTTACAAAAGTATTTACAATACATTTTAGCTAAATTCACCCTCTCCTCAATGAAAAGCTGCACAATTTACCTTTGTATTTTACCAGGATCTAAACTTTGAACTCAGTACAACTTGCTCATTTCAGAAAAAAACTTGAAACATTGCTGGGTAAAGATTAACTATTCAGTAACTAATCTTTGCTTAACTGTTTAACTATTTAACCTTAGACCAGGGGTGAAGAGTTGATCCTAAATTCTATGACTCCATACAAATAATCAGCTTTTAATAAGTATGGAAGTTTTAGCTGTAAAGTTTTAGATATCTAAAGTAGCATTGTGAAAAACAATTTACAAAATTTCAAAGTTAAATTCAGAGGGCAAAAATGACTTAAAAAGGTATTGATATCAGAGGTGTTATTAAAAATACCTTTTGTCCTTTTTGTAAAGGACTCACAATGTGAATTGATCCTAAACACAATCTCTTGAAGAAAGCATAATCTAACTTTATCTTATACAATGTGACTTGGCCTATACCATATGGTGTGCTTGCCCACCTTCTTAATTAAATTAACACTAAATACATGAAATACAAATTTTTGAAGTTTTATGAAGTTCAATTTAATGTCTTCATTTCAAAACATAACCATGTCAATTTACTTGCAAATGATAAGTCTTAAACAAGGCATAAAATTGTGGCGTATGAAACATTAATTGTTTTAGCTGGTGGAGTGAATGCAGAATTAAGCAGCAATTAATATGAGTTAATAAATTGCTTCCTTGGGGTAAGAACACTGCGTTATTTTGTGAACTAAAGATGATATTTAAGTCTGTTGGAGGCTGTGAATGCTGGGGGTTGGAGGCAAGTGCACTCCTTGGGAAAGATTACTCCTATGAAGCACATTGTCATACTCTAGGTGTAACAAGCCCAGAAACAGAACCAGCCAGTTTAACTTGTGTATGGCTGAGACTGAATTGGAAAGGGTTCTTTAAAAAAGTATAAGTGGGACCAGGCAAGATGCAAAGAAAAATGAAATGCAAGACTCAACTCTAATTATTTCCAAAATAGTAAGAATGAGAGAAGATATTCTTCTAGAAAAAGTCATAGTCATGTCAAATAATTCACCAAGCTATTTGTTTATTCTCTTATTAAATGGTCATTTTGGGAGACCCTATCTAAAGATTTCTCAGCAATGGGATTGCCATAAGGATAAGCTAAACATGGTTCAACCTCAGGTAAACTATACTTCAGAGGAGCAGACAAGCAACTCAAGCAAGCTATAGAAAGTTACAGATGTAAGTAAGGACACACCTGATAGTGAGGCAGAAGAACATCTCAGGGAACTTGAGGAACAGCCACACAGACCAACTCCCCAAAGCTTTGCACAGAGCTCCCTTCATGAAAGAATTCAGTGACTCTCAAGATGGGTTTTCGGTCATTTGTTGGTGAGCCAGAGGTGGTGGTGCATTCCTGTAATCCCACAAATTGGGACATGGAGACAGGAGAATCTCAGATCTCAAGTTCCAAGACAACATGCACTACATAGCTGTTCAACCCTCAGGTTTGTATCTCTCATTGGATCTCCCTTGCTGCTGGAATCAAGGCATGCTTTTCAGGCCTTTATAATCATTGGTTCTATTTTACTCTGAAAACGAGTCCTTCATCACAATATTTCTCCTCAATCCCAGCATTTCACAACTTCTCCCTGATTCCTTTAAATTTGTGATTCTGTTTCTAACCGAATGAATAAATGTTCCTGAAAGAATTTGATTATATGCTCAGCTGAACACCATCACCATTGTTTGTTAGAGGTTTCCCTGAGAGCCACTCAGAGAACATTGATACAGACCACTGTCTTCATTGGTTCAAGTGCTTAGCACAGGTCTAATCAACAGAGCCAGGCAGCTAACCACGTCAAGTGGGAGAAACACAGTCACATCTACTCAAATTTCCTTCATCAGAAAGCAACAGGTAGGCACTGGTTTAGAATCAAGTAATAGGCATGACAAGCATGTTCAATCTTTCCCATCTACACAGGTACCTAAATAAATATAGTACCTGGAAGAATGTACTACTCATCATAAGATGTGGACTCATAAATGTTACTGATATTTACAGTAGGAAAGATTACGTTTAGCAGAGATACCATGACAAGTCTCTTGAAAATGTGGCATTTGAACTAGGGCTTTGAAGGGTGTCTAGGATCTGAACATGAAGAAAGGAGAGCAGAACATTTTGGGCAAAGTAAATTGCATGAGAAAATTCACAGAAATAGAAAATTTCATAAAAAAGACATAAAAATTTAGTACTTAAGAAATTGAAAGCACCGTCAGTATCAATATTAGAACCACTGACTTTAGTACAAAAAATCATGAATTAGAGACACTGGGAGATACAACTGGTATCAACACTAAAAGACAGGCACACATGAAGTTGAGTATCTTTGTTTGGAAGTGTAAAGATAAAAGAATGTAAATTAGGGTAAAAGAAGAACGACTATTTCGATATCAGTATACAAAACTCAGATATGCAACTTTTGTCTAACACTGTGTGTTGATTAGGGTGGGAAGAGAGAGGGAAGATAGAAGAAAATTATTAAGTTGAAACTCTAGAGCTTTTTCTCTGTGTCAGCTTTGGTCACCAAAGTATATGAGTTAAAAATTATCAAACATACTTTGTGATTCAGTATTTGAATTACAGATTCAAATACCCAATGGTGGACTTGACATTGCTTCCTAAATGTTCAAAATTCATCTGAAATATAAAATGCCCTATTTAGCACTCTGATTTTCCTCATCCAAATTTTTCCCTGGTATTTCTTATTGTATCACATTTCATATATTTGCTCAGATCCCAAAACTAGAAATAGCCCCCTTTCCTATCCTCACCAGAGAGAGTTTGTCACAGTCCTATCTAGTTTTCTACAAAATATGTCAGAAATCCATAATCCTCTCTACCAAATTTAATCCACTATCTCTTTTCCTCTGAAATACTGTAATAGCGTTAGCATGTATCTCTTTTTCAATTCCTACAATTCACCATGTTCAAAGCAATTTTTATTTAATGCAAAATTATACCATGTCACTTTCCTTCTCAAAACATTCCCGTGTTATGCTAGGGATGTAGCTCAGTGGTGGAGCTCTTTCCTACTATGTGCAAGGCCCTGGGTTCAATCTCCAATATGGCACATGCACACAAGAATCTCCACTGGCTTCCCATTCATCTTAGAAAAGTTTACCACCTTTCCAACCTAAAAAGTTCTTCATTATTAGCTTCTGCCTCTGCCTACTCCATATCACAGTTTGTCACCACTCTTCCTCTCCCTACTTCTGTTTCTTTATCAGTTAAATAGGCCAAGCCCATCTCTTCACCAAAATGTTGGCATTTGCTATCATCTTCCCTCAGGTCCAGGTCTTTACATGTTTGATTGAGAAATTCCCATACATCTGTCCCTTAGAAAATGCACATGCCCCCCTAAAATAGGTCTTCTACACCTCAGTGTCTCTATTCGAATATCACATTCTGTTTCATCACACGTAAAACTATCTAAAATTACAATACTTAGTTTTCCATTCTTCCACAAAAAGTAAATTGCAAGATTTGATACTTATGTATGTTCTTATATTCTTCTGCCAGTGCCAGAAGCCACAAGATAGGAGCTCAGTAAATATTTTTTGAAAGAGTTTAAATGTAAGAACACAGAGACAGACAGCAGAACTATCATAAATAAATCAAGTTAGCCTGAGGGGAACAGATGATCTCTAATACCTTTCTTGCTCAATTTTAAGAAACTGAAATGAGTGAAATCATAAATAAATTGGAGTGAAGATTTAAAATATTTGCTTAAATCCCCATTTTCATTCATTCTCTCCAGAAAGATTAAATTTCCAAAAGACTAGGAAATGCTAAATGATTATTAAATGGAGTGGAATATGGTTTCAACAAACACCACAAGAGTCCTGTTTGTTCTAAGGTGGTCCATGTAATGTTAAAAAGAAGAAATTTCTCATCATTATCAGTAACAGGTGGATGAATATCTTTGGTGTTAAAATGAAAAAATACTAACATATAAAGTGGATATTTTGTCATCAATATCATTTTCTTTTCTTTATCAATATCATTTTCATTCTCAATGAAGAATCTTGTTAATGTTCACTCTGTCCATAGCTTTAAAACTGTGGTCCAAGAACTTTGGGATTGGGATAGCAGAGGTGGGACTTTTTTTTCTATACTTTTACAAAAAATCTTTATGTTACCTCCTAGTAAAATATATAGAGGAGATTGTGTGAAGTTATAAATGTTTAGTCCACTTTTCTAGATAATATAAGTGGAATGAACTAATATTTGAGAACTTGGTTTTTCCTCAACACTGATCTAACAATACTTTCTATATTCATAAATTACTACTATTTTCCTCATTTTGTGTATTAGAAAAACAGGTACTTGGGTTTAATGTTGCTTGGTTAATTACATTATTTCTGAGATTGGGAAAATGGGAATCTTAGTTTTTGAAAAGGTGTAGTACTTCAAGGGCAAATTTTCTGCAAGAAAATGATGGTGGTTAGATTGTTTTATTATTTTCTTTCTTTTTCAAAGAACAATTTAAAATGGAGCCTTTACCTCCTGAGCTGCCAGCTGACACCGTGCAATGCATCGCGGCTGAACTCAAATGTCACCCAACAGACGAGCAGGTTGCTCTCCGCCTAGATGAGGAAGATAAGCTGAGACATTTCAGGGAGGATTTTCATATTCCGAAAATGCAAGACTTGCCTCCAAGTAAGAATACTAGGAACGGTTTTTAAAGACCAATTTATTAATTAATTTATTTTCGCTGCCGTGTGTTTATCATAAATCTTTGAAAATCATTGTTCCATTACATAATAGAGTCATTACAATTGTGCCTGAAAAATTGCAGTCCTCTGTTGCTACTACATCAACCTGTCCGCCTACCTTAGTTGTGTATTCTTTATGTTTCTTATCCTCCTCTGAATAAAATGCTTACAGGGTGCTTATACTGTCATCTACTTCTCTGAACAATACAGTGACTGATTGAAAATTATAGGCAAAGGCATTTACTTGTGCTCTCAGCACTTAGAGCTCAAAGCAATTCTTTTCAACACAATATTAGAATATCTCTTATCTTGTGGCACCTAGTTGATGATAGTATGTTTGTCTAAGAAGGAATATTTTTGTGACCTGTGTTTATGAGGAGGGATGTTATGTAAAGAGCCATCTTTGCTTGTCATAAGTAAAGAAGGCAAGTGTTTAAGAGTTATCTGAGAAACACATACTGCATTCTTAAGCATAATACAATAAGATAACTTTCTGATTTGAGGAAAGTCCTATTTCTTTAGCATAGATAGCATAAGGCTAAGAATACAAAACAAATTGTCAGCTTTAACTCACTCTCTTTTACAGCAATGAAATATGCTACAAGGCTGAATGGAATTATTCCATCAAAATCAGCTTCACATAGTTTATAAAGTCTGATTTCCTTTTTTATTCAGATTAAATAGAGTAGGTACAATCTTAGATATTCAAAATATAAGAACATTAGTTAATACTGTTTTGGGATAAGAGTGGGCCACATAACTTTCTTATTTGGTTTATAAGTATGAAACACACTAGGACACACTCTCCTGGGATAACACACCTTCAATAGCTATTCATCTATGACTATTATATCCAGCACCCTCCATACTTCTGGAAAGATGATCAAAGAGGTCTAACGCTATGTCCAATTTGATTTGTTTAATATCACTTGAGGGAGACTTTGATACAAATGATAGCTCTAAGGAGCAAAGTTAAATTAAGTTGTTTTGAGACTTCACCTAAACAAGGTACAATGTAACAAAGTTCAGAAATGTCACAATAAATCCCCCCTACAACTAATAAAGAATAATTTCAATAATAAAAGAAAATTGTCCTAGATCACACTGGATTCTAGAATTAGATGAATATTTTGATTTCAATCTGAATAGATAATAATAAACTGCTAATGAGTGAGTTTCACAGAAATAAAATTTAGGAAGGGAATTATTTGGGGATTTGGACAGATTTGATACAAGTCAGATCTGGATGATGGCAGCCCTATCTTGATGTGCTATTTAGCCCTCAGGACTCTTGTGCTGGATCAAAATGCAGTTTAAAAATAGCATTGCGCATCACTAATTATCAGGGAAATGCAAATTAAAACCACAATGAGATATCATTTCATGCTGATCTTGAGGAGTAGTCTACAAAGTACAGAAAATAACAAATATTGGGTAGGATGTGGTGGAACTGGACTTCTTATAAGCATGTAAAATGATGAAGCAGTTATGGAAAATAGTGTGGAGTTTCCTCAAAAAAATCAGAATAGTTTTACCAATTGTTGCACTTGTAATTCTTGGTATATATCCAAAAGAATTGAAAGTAATGCCCCTAATAGGTATTTGTACACCTGTGTGCATAGTAGCATTATCCACAATATCCAAAAGATACAAGTAACCTAAATGTCCATGGCAAACTAATGTGTAAACAAAATGGTGTATATACATAAATGAAATAGCAGTCTACCTCTAAAAAGAAGGAATCCTGACACAATCACAGCATGTATTCATCTTGAGGACGTTATACTAGGGAAATAAACCAGTCACAAAAAGGACAAATATCATATGACGTTACTTGTGTCAGGTATTAGATCGTCAAATTCATATAAACAGAAAGTAGAACAGTGGTTTCCAGAGAATGGAGAAAGGGGGAGAAACAGGAAAACATTGTGTAATGGGTATAGAATTTCAATTTTGCAAGATTTAAGAGTACAAGAGTCTGGTTTCAGAGCAATGTGGCAATGTGAGTACACATACCATAGAATTATGTACTTTTAAGTTATGTAAATTTTGTCATATTATTTTTATGTTTACTAGAAATAAAAGTTTTTTTTAAAAAAAGCACTGTACATACAATCATTTCCATTATAATTAAAAGCTGACTCTTGAATCTTGAGTATAGATAGTATTTGATTTGACTAATTGTCCAACAGAAAGTATATCTAAAGAAATTTATATAAGTCATTGCTGATTGTTAAAGAGAAGTAAAAGGGCTGGCAGAATGGCTCAAATGATAGAGCACCTGCCTAGCAAGCATGAGTCCCTGAGTTCAAACCCCGGTACCACCAGAGAGAGAGAGAGAAGAAAAGAGAAAAGCTGAATTGATTGAATAAACAATTTAAACAATTATTTAAGAAGTGATGCAAAAATTTTACTTCATTAAAACAAAGACTAGTCACCTGACCAGCAGCATGTCTCATCATCAAGGAACATATTAAAAATGCAAGTTCTTGGATCCTACCCAAGAGTTTTTGAATCAGAGACTGGGGCCTTATTTCTTACTCTCTATTTGGCATGCTTTTCTTAGAAAAACACAGTGAAATAAACAGAAATTTATCACATAGTTGAATTTATATTCAGTTTAAAGAAGCAGATAATAAATAAACTTACAACTTAATGTATGTTCCACTACAGGATATTGCACTATGTGTTAGAGTTGTGGGATAGGGATGTGATTTTGCCCAAGGTAGCATACTGTGGAAATGCTGATAAGGTAGCATATGAGTAAAGATAAGAACAAAAATGAAAAAGTGAGCCCTATGGAGACACAGGTGAAGCTGAGTCTGGTGGTTGCTCAAGCTTGTGCTTCACAAACACAAAGGTACCAAGCTCAGAAGTGATGTTGGTTTCTCTTTTGTATTTTTTAAAAGATGCAAAACCTCAAAAAAATTTCCTATCCTACTAAAACCCTTCAAGATCATATAATAATGATATAGCATCTTAAATTATTTTAAGAGGCTAGTATAAGACCAAAGCCACCTATTCTTCTGCAACCCTGAACAATGAGAAACAAAAGACAGAAACAATGCTTTGGAAAAGTAAAATGAATCAGGCCCTTAATGCTGGATTTATAAAATACTCTTGAGGAAATGCTACAGTCATAGACTGTGGTTTTCCATTATTTTGGCATTAATTATGATGCTTGCTGTAGATTTCCAATAGTGTTTTTTAAATAAATAAGTTTTTTATTGTTAGGTTATTATTAAAAGGGTCAAAAATATTTTTGCTTATGGTGGTACACCTAATATTCAACATCGTTCTGAAGATGATAGCTATTACCAAAACATGGACGGAAGGAAGGAAGGAAGAAAGGAAGGAGGGAGGGAGGGAGGAAATGAAGGAAGGAAGGAAGGAAGGAAGGAAGAAAGGAGGGAGGGAGGGAGGGAGGAAAAGAAGGGAGGGAGGAAAAGGAGGAAGGAAGGAAGGAAAGAAGGAAGGAAGGAAGGAAAGGAGGGAGGGAAGGAGGGAGGGAAAAATAGAAGGAAGGAGGGAAGGAGGGAGGGAAGAGAGAAGACATAAATGGCAAATTATGTAACAGGGTAAATAAAAAATAAGGGGGATAGTAATCAGAAATAAGAGTGAAGAAGTAGTTATAATGGAGGTGAAGAAAAAGGAAGAGATTCAAGAAAAAATTAAAATTGTTATTGAATAATCCTGATTTAATATTCAGAGAAACAGCATGAGTCAAACTTCATGGTTTAAGTGAATTGTGGTGATTACAAATTTATGTAATTTGCTTGTTCAAGGAAACTTTTCATCTGTAAATTAACCGAGGAACCTGGGCATGTTCATTCATGCCTGTAATCCCAGCATTTGGAAGGCTAAGGCAGGAGGATCATGAGCCCAAGGCCAGTCTGTGATACCTAGTGAGACTTGTCTCAAAAAAGCAAAGAATAGCTAGGCACCAGTGGCTCACACCTGTAATCCTAACTACTCAGGAAGCAGAGATCAGGAGGATGGCAGTGGCCAGGACAGCTATAGGCAAATAGTTCATGAGACTCTATCTCGTAAACACCCAACACAAAAAAAACAATGGTGGAGTGGCTCAAATGATAGAGTGTCTGCCTGGCAAGCATGAGAACTTACATTCGAGCCCTAATGCTGCAAAAAACACCAAGACATAAAAAAAAACTAAAAGAACCTATGTTATTGTCCCATCTGTGGCCTTGACTTCAGAGTCTAAGAAGTTGGCACCTGTGTTTCAAGCAATAGGAAGCATGCAGGGACAAAAAAAAAAAAAGAAAAAAACAAAGAATGTGCATGCTCCTTTGAGGAGGGTTTTAGATATTGCTTTCTGTCATGTCTACCTGTATCCCATGGGCAAGCATTTAGTTTTGGTCCCACCAATCTGCTAAAAAGACTGAGTATAACATGTCATTTTGTCCATGGAAGCCATATGCAAAGCTAATAATTCTCTTACTATAGAGGAAAATAGAATGGAAATTAGGGCAGAACTATTAGTTGAGTCTACTTTGAAGATGTAAATTTGAGAGTCACGAGCATTTAGGTAAGAGTTGAAATATGAGTATGAGCATTATGTAGGAATCATACAGCACATTGGAAGAAGCTGGTAGAAACAAAATCTTAAGCACTGGCAAAGGAAGTCTAGAAATAGGACATGGAGAAGAAGGAAAATGTGCAGAGACATTCGAAGAAATGGAAAAGCTTACCATCTTCTGCTATCACAGGATACTGGGATATAGAGACTAGAGGTCAAGTCTTTCATATTAGCAAGATAGAGAGAAATATTAAATAGCCTTAACTTTAATAACCTCAATGAAATAATGGGGGAGTAACTATATTTTTCTGGGTTTAATGAAAGAGTGGTTTTTAAAGAACTCTTGCTGTGACTGGAAGAAAACATTGATAACAAGATGCAAAAGAAAATGCATGGGTATCTTTAAG